GGGGGCGGGGGGGAGCGGGGGACACTCGGCAGCTCCTTCCCCGCACAGGCAGGCGCTGCGGAGGGGAGAGCGGGCAGGGAGCTGGCGGGGTTAGTCAGGAGAGCCGGGTAGAGCCCTTACTGCTGTCTTTGTCGCTGCTGCTTACAGCAGAGGGAGGAAAAAGCAACGAAGTCGTTTATTAAACCTTCTTAAGGGCAGCGTCGTCGTTAATCTCACGTTAAGCTATTTAGGAGGGCGCGTATAACAAGAGACGCAGACTGTTAAATCGCGTCTAACTTCAGCGACCGAAAATAAAGACCGTTGCTCGAGCCCGGGTAATGACTTCCAAACTCACACCGACATTCGGGCAGTTGCCTCGGGTCGGACGAAACCCCCTTCACCTGCAAACGGTTCTGACGATCGACACAACTACATCCGAAGGACCACGCGTTTCACTAATTGTTCTGGTACGATGGAGTCGATTCACGTTCACTTTGTGAACACTTTGAAAAGTTTTAGTTCCCCACTTGTTGTGGTCAGTATTTTCCTTGTTTAACAATGCGTCAAAAACGTAGGAGAAGGCAGTTGCTAGGCGAAGAACGCGCTATAAACCCCGTTTCCGGAATTATTTTCTATGAAAACCTCAAACCCGAATTCTTCTTTTCTTGGCAAGTAGGCGTGTTTTCGATTAGGAAGAATACCAGTGGCAATTTTATTTGTGCGAACGAGCTTCGTTCCGCGGCGATGCAACAGCCGTTTTTTCCCCCTTAGAGACACGGGGCTCTCCCTCTCCGTCCGGTCCCGGGAGGAGAACCTCTCCGATGCCGGGGCGTTTCAAAACCGGCAGCAACGGCAGCTGCGCAGGACCCGAGACCGCCTCCGTGACCGTGCTCTGAGCCGTTCGGCTCCGGTGCACGGGGAACGGCTGCCGCGCCGCTGAAGACGGGACCGACTACCCGACGGCAGAGCGGCGGGGCCGGGAAGCAGCGCCCAGCCCCTCCCGCTCAGCGGCCGCCGGCAGCGAAGCCGCCGTCCTCCCGCACCTCACCGGCGCTCGGCGGGCCCCGCGGGCTGCCTTCCCG